CCGGGCGGGTGTCGGTTCCCTGTGCCCACACCCGAGGCTCCGGCACGGGGCGTGGGAGGCACAGCGGGGGGACGTGGGGGCCCCCCCGGGGTTCGGCAGGGTCGCACCTCCCAGCTCTGCAGAATGGCAATGTCCCCTGTCCCTCCCCGGCCGGGACGTGTCCCCTCCCCTGGCCGTGCCACCCCGTGCTGGAGACACGAGGTCTGTCCCTCCGGCTTGGCAGCCGGCGGGATGGATCCCTTACGGGTTGTGCAAGGGACAGGCAAAGGCCCCGTTTCATCCCTCTCCCCTCCCCGCTCTGTCCATCCAACGGGGCCGAGCCGAGCCAGGTGACCTTCTCTCGCCAGGCCAGCGCCTCTGGCTTGGCTCATGGCACTGGCGGGGCTTTTTGGCACCAGCCCTGCGGGGCTGTCACCGGGGCCCCAGCAGCCTGGGATGTGTCCTGACGAGTCCGAGCACTGGCGGGCGTAGGGGGGCTGGGACTCACCTGCCAGGCGGGATGGGGTCCCCGTGGTACCCGGCCATGGGATGGGCTGGCTCTGCTGCATGCCAGGCGGATGGATGTCAGTGCAGCTTGGAGGAGGTCTGCCCAGCTCCAGCCTCCTTTTGCAAAGCTAAAAGCTTAATTTTGCCTGACTGGGGGAAGGCGCTGCCTCCACTTTTGCGGTAGCAGCAGCCTCTTCTTCCCCGGCGTGGATGCACGCAGGAGCTGGGGCTGCTCGCTGCATCCCCTCGGCTTGGCGTGCCCCGGGAAAGCCGGGCTGGGGCAGGGGCAGCCAGTCCCTAATTAATGAGCAAAATCCCCCCTGCCCCTTTTCCTCCTCCCCCCGGGTGGCAGATGGGCGCCCCAGGGCTTGGTGCTTGGAGACTGCCGGGCCATTTTCCGCAGGATTTGGATGCTGAACGCCAGGCAAGGCTGGGGCACGGTTGCGAGCCGGGAGGAGCGTTGGGAGGCAAACAGCTCCAAATCCAGCAAAGCCCTTGTGAACAGAGCACAGGGAAAACTTGCAAGCGCATCGAATTTTCTCGCTGTGCCAGATTTTGTCACTGGCAAAGGCATCCGAGAGGGGAGGCCCAGCACGGTGTGCCCTGCCAGGCAGGCGAGGTTGCTCCCACCACAGCACCCACCGCTTGAGCCGGGGCTTTTCGGGTCTGCAGGGCCAGCATGGTTAAAAACTTCATGGAGGTTTTATATCTGGGGTATAGGAGGGTTGGCAGCTGGGAACGAGGCAGAAAATTGTCATATTTTTATCCCTGTTTGAATCATATCTGTTTCTAGCTAGCTCGACTGCCTGTCTGTGCTACCCTCCATTTTTTCGTAGCAGCAGATTATTTGGGATAACTCTGGGAGCTGGAGGGAAGCGCAGACTTAAATGTGTGTGAGTTAGTGTGCATTGTAAAAAATCCTGCACAGCTGTAGTTGGGGCAAAAGGCCAGTTGGCTTCTCTGCCAAAAAACCTGCTTACATTACCTCGGTGTCCAAAGCCCTCAATGTTTGGGTGAAAACACTGGATTCCCCCTCCCCAGCACCGCCCGGCTGTAGATGTGCGTCGGGTTCGTGGCAGGGAGGTGGTACGGTGTTGTCGTGTGTCCCTCTGGAGATGGGGTTTGTCTTGGTTTAATACTTGGTTTTGCCGGTGGGATTTTGCCAGCAAAAGGCACCATTTGGGTTGACCCACAGCAGCCCAAGAAGTGTTCGGAGAGGGGGAAGAGCGCCTGCTGGCTATGGATGGCGGCTGCTGCGCTGTGCAAAGGTGGATTTGGGGTTTCTGGTCCGTGCTCTGCCTGGCCCTGGAGAGCCCTGGGGCCGGTGGGTGGTCTGGTGGGACATGCTGAGCATCCTCCTGCGAGCTGGCCACGGTGGGCTGCAGCGTTGGGATGGCCAAGCATCCAAACCAGGAGCAGGCTCGGGAGAGATTTTGGAGTCACCTGCCGGCCTTGAGTCCAAGATTTCACATGGCCTGTTGCATCCCACCGGCCCCACTGGGACTCCGATACCGCTTGGCTTCTCCGTACAAGGACTCACCGGCACGCCCGGTGCTCGCAGCCACCCAGACCTGCAAGGTGGCAGCTTCCAAGTCGCTGGTTTTCTTCATGTGACATCCCGGCCACATCAAGACCAGCGACTTCCACTGAATCTGTTGGCTCAGAGAGCCCTGGGGTATCTCGCCTCCCTGCAATTTGGGGCCAAATCCTCATCTCCTTCCAGCTTTTGGAGCCGGTGGCAGGGCAGGGCAGGCCACAAGCAGGGTCTGATACATCCTTCACCATCATTTGGGGTCAGATGGTGACTCCAGCCTTTGCTGGCTGGACTTCAGATGCTCTGCAGTAGCGCTGTGCGGGGGGACCCATCCTTTGCATGGAAAGCTGAGCTGGAAGGAAATTTTTTCTTTCCCATCTGGCCAGGAGGGGATAGCAACAAAAATGCCTTTCATCACCCTTGTCATCCTCGCTCTGGAGGAGAGAGCACAGTACGTGCTGCGGGAAGAATGACTGACAGCTCGGTAAGAAGCTGTTAAGCCCTGCACTTGGGGGACGTTGCTGGAAGTAACCCCTGGAGCAACGGGAAACCTACGGAGCAAGTGCCTATATAAATATATAGATAGAGATCTATAGGCTCCTCTGGCTGGAGCTGAAGTGCATTTCACCGAAATAGCACTTGGGGGCTGTTGGCCGGCTGCTCGCGTGCGCCGGGAGTCCAGCGATCCTGTGGGGCACAGGGAGCATCTCCTTCCCCGGCATCCCGGGACCGCAGGGCTGGGGGCTGCCAGGGGACCCCCCCAACACGGGGACGTGGCAGTGGGGAGGGCTGGCGGGGCTGGAGTCATTGTTCTTGGAAGAAGCTGGGACTTTTGGAGAGGGGAGACGTTTCCTTCCCGAAGGGCAGCGTGGTGGCGAGCCAGTGCGTGGCGTGGGAAGGAAGGAAGGAAGGAAGAGTGGAAGAGCGCGAGAAGAGCCTGTCACCCTTCGGATTTTGGACTGGACTCCCGTTAATGGGCGGAAGCCGGTTTCCAGTGCCGTGCGAGCCCTGGGCGCCCTCGGCTGCGCATAGTTTTGCTTTCACCTCCTCCCCGCGCTGCTCGGGCTGCCTTCAGCCCTGCACCCCTCCTCCTCCTCCCCAGCACCTGGACATTTTCAGCACATTGAGCTCCCCCCCGCCTGCCTGGGGCCGGGGGGAAGCACCCAGCCAGATCCTGCCCGAGGCTCCCCAGCTGGCAGGGGATGGACGGGGAAGGATGAAGGGATGTTCCCTGCGGCCGGGAGGGGAGTGAGGGGTGCAGGACCCACCCGGGTGATGGGGGTCCCTCTGGCCACCACGGTAGATGGCTAAAGGCTCTCGCACCCGGTCAAATAACCTCATCCTACGGCTCAGACTGGAGGGGAGGAGGGAGGGAGGGGGTCCCTGCCCTTCAGCTGGGGATGGGCTGTCACCCCGGGTTGAGCGATGATGAGCCACATTTGCAGCGGTGCCTGCAGAGCTGGGTTGCAGAGCTGCAGGGTCCGTCTGTCCGTGGGAAGCACCCAGCCAGATCCTGCCCGAGGCTCCCCAGCTGGCAGGGGATGGACGGGGAAGGATGAAGGGATGTTCCCTGCGGCCGGGAGGGGAGTGAGGGGTGCAAGACCCACCCGGGTGATGGGGGTCCCTCTGGCCACCACGGTAGATGGCTAAAGGCTCTCGCACCCGGTCAAATAACCTCATCCTACGGCTCAGACTGGAGGGGAGGAGGGAGGGAGGGGGTCCCTGCCCTTCAGCTGGGGATGGGCTGTCACCCCGGGTTGAGCGATGATGAGCCACATTTGCAGCGGTGCCTGCAGAGCTGGGTTGCAGAGCTGCAGGGTCCGTCTGTCCGTCCATCCGTCCTCTGGGCTGTGTGCGGCTGTGCAAGCAGGGCGGTGTACAGGGTTGTTCTCTGCAATTTTCTCTGGCCTACCGGAGGCTTCGGTGCTCTCCATCCATGCAATAAAAATTGGATGTGAAGAGCAATTATTACCCCCCCCACATCCCCATGAGTATCCTGAGGGATTCATTTCCAGTGGGCTCGGGTGGAGCAGCCCGGGAATGGCAGGTATGAGGTGGGCAGGGGCAGAGGGGCCGCTGGAAGCACGTAGGGGATGGGGGGCTGCAAGGTGATCATGGGAGCAGATGCCAGGCGGGGGATTTCAGGTGGGGGGCTCCCACCCGGCAGCACCCCATGGCCCGGAGGGATGTCTGTGTCTGGGGCGGTGGCAAGGGATGGGGATACCTGGGGGCAAAATCCCGGGGGACAACTCCAGGCGCTGGTCCCGGCTACGCGGGAGTGTATCCGGTGGCTAGTCCAAGCAGGAACGGGCTGGCCAAGAGCTGAGTCATCCCTCCAGCACGGAGGAGATCCCCCAAGGCCCCTCAGTTGCTGTTAAAAGGCAGTAGCAAGAGCGAGAGGCTGCGAAATGGCTCCACCGAGAGCTCGGCTTCTTAGGCGGCCTCGGCCTCCGAGGAAGCAGGGATGTTCGTCTCAGAGCACGAATTTCGCAGACATCTGGAGCCTGTGGCTTATTTCTCAATGGTTCCTTGGCCGTATTTCTCCTCCGTTTCGGAGATAAAGGCGGTGAGGGCGACCCCGTGGAGCGGGAGCCGCGGTGCTGGCCACCCTCCAGCCAGCCCGGCCGGAGGAAACCGCGGCCCCGCTCTGTGCCGCCGCCAAAGCAAATAGAAATGGGGCGTTAAACAATGCCGGGCGCTAACTGGGGGAGATGTTGGCCGCCGACGTCGCTGCTGCGGATGGGCTCCTCGTCTCCAGGAGAGTTTCCACTGGCATCTCTGCCTCCTCTCCCCCGTGCCCAGCCAAAACCCTCCTGTTGGGCAGCCCGAAGGCTTCATCCACCTTCCTCCTCCTCCTATCCAGCCCCTCCGGGGAGGCAGGGCCATCCTGCACGCCTTGGGAGTGCTGGGGCCAGGGCAGGGACTTGCTGGGTGCTGAGGGAGGCGGGAGGGATGAAGGGTAAGGAAGAGGAGATGCCCAGCTTGCAGCAGCCCTCCTGCTTCACCGTGGGCTCGCTGGAAGGATTTGGCTTAGTCATTCATCCCTTCCCTTGCTGGTAGGCTGAGCCACTGCTGAAAATATCCTGGAAGGCTCCCAAGCGGCACAGAAGGCAAGAAAATGAGAAACACATGAAGGAAGGGATGGGAAAGGAAGGGAAGGGGAGCGGGTGCTCTCGGCGTCCAGAGTGGGGCTTGGGGTGGGTGGCCCTGGCTGCCCGCCTCCCTGTCGGGGCCAGAGCAGGGACACCCCATCACAGCCATCCCGGCAGCGCCTTTGGGGAGGGGGCTGCACCCTTGGTGGGTGCTGGGGTGATGCTGATGCTCCGCACCGGTGTCTGTCCCCGAGCAGTGGCCTTGGCGGGGCTGGGGACGCTGCCCTTCCCGCAGGCACTTCAGGGCGCGCTCGTAGGAAATTGCTCACCCCGAGAAAATGCGTTCCCGGCAGCTCCACATCCTTTTGGCCTTTGGGAAGGGCTGGCGCCCTGACCTTTTGGCCAGCACACGAGAAGTGCAGCGGCACTCCGGCCACTCGCCGCGGGGCTTTCGCCAGTCTTTTAGCACTTCGCTTTTAGCATTTGTGTAGGCTCCCAAGGCGTGAGGTTGGTGCCTTGCTGCAGGCTGTGGTTGTGTCCGGCGGGTCGGGATCTGCACAGCTTCTGTCGGCTGCTGCCATCTCGTGTTGCTCCATAAATCAGTCCCTAGATGGGGCCTGGCCACTGGACTTGCCATGAGGTTATGGTGGGCTGGCATGTCCCCGCTGATGCTGGATTTGCTTTCCTGCCCGCTCGGAGCTGAGCGTGCCGGCATTTGGGGCGAGGGGCCGGGGGACATGCGCTGGCCCCTTCACTGCCCGCTGCCTCTTCGAGCCAGGGGCCAAAACCATGTGAGCTGCAACCTGAGACCTGCCGAAGCCCTTGGAGAAATTCCTTTCCTGTATGATCACTGTGGCGGGACAGGAGGAAAGGTCCTGAGTGCCCCTGGGCGTCCCCTGGGCTTTGCCATCTGTCCACCTGGCGTGCAGAGGTGCAGTTCAGCGTCTCGGCAGGGGCCGTGCTAGGTCCCCATCACCCCTGCACTATGACATCCCCTCCGTGTACTCCAGCCCCGGAGCATCCCTCCAGCCTTCCCCCAGCTGCTGGAGAAGGGGTTGGGATGCTGAGGGATACCTGGAGGAAGGGCTGCCGGTCCTGGACGGGGCAGGCTGGGATCCCATGTCCCCGCTGAGCCCCCCTAACCCCTCCTCTCCTCTCTGCCCAGGTCTCTCCCGCAGCGCCAGCCTCTCTGAGAAGGAGCTGAAGGAGGCGAAGGCGCGGAGCCGGCGGATTGCAGCGCAGCTCACCACGGTGCCTGGCCCCAGCTCCAAGGGCGTCCTGCTCTTCCACCGCCGCACGCACCGCCTTG